GTTTAATTTATATTTGTTGATAGTTTTGTGGAACAAATTGCCTGGTGTGCTTATAAGCGATCTTATCATCCTTATTTGCATTAAAAGCAGGGTAAATCAATATCTCTTACTGGTTTTTTTCCCCACTTATTTTCTCCCCCTAAAGAAGCTGAGAAGTCTGCCACCTTTCAGGAGTTTTTATAATCTAAGAAGATGAAAACTGACATTTTGCCATGTCAGCAGTGCAGGAGGAATGGAGACTGAGTCCTCTCAGTACTATTCTTCCTTCTCCAAATACCCCTGTGAGAACAGTGGGTTACAAGTTAAAAATAAAACAACAAGGGAAACAACCCCACAGCTGGTTAGTTTTTAACTGGAGTAAAAACACCAGTCAAGCAATGAATATACTTTGGAGGTTTTCCTGTATTTGCATAATATTTACATTCAGAAGCCACAGGTGGGATTATTGTCTTCACGTTCTTGGGATGTGTAGGTGGATTAAGTTCTGCGAGTCCTTGCCTTTTGCTCTGAGGATGAACTGTGGTCATTTCTGCTCAGATAGCAACAAGCATTCCAAGTCTGTAAAAATGTAGGATACCTCCAGGACTGCAGTAAAATATTGATGTTCCAGAGGGTCTCTGCTGAATGACTGCAGTGGGGCCTGAGTGTTTGTTCGGGGGTGTTGCTGGGGCAGCCCAAGTGAATCGTGCAGTTACCAAAACCCCTGGGATGGGATTGGAGCTCCCTGATTCAATTTTGCCCGTTGGTTGTTTTCATTTAATGTAAAACAGAGACCCGAATCTCTGCACTTCCTTTTCTCCATTATGTGGCTGGTCCCTGAAGCTTTGTGAGACTGAGTTTGTTACATGAAAATGTGTCTAAATCTAGCTGTAAAATCGTGGTCTTGTTGTCTTTTAATAACATTGTGCAGCTCTCTCCATTTTATATAAAAATAATTTAAAAGCTTAATTGACCCTTGAACTAATATGCTATTTAAAAACATGCACACACACACACACACAAAAAAGGTGATGGTAAAATTTAGCAATAGGAAAGCTTGTTGTTGATTGTTAAAATATGTTATCCAGTTTTTTAAAAAGAAATACCTAATTGCAGAGCTTAAAACCAGGAAGTTTTGTTTCAAACTCCACCTGACACGTAGAGTAAATTTATTTAACTTCAGTGAGTTCCATGAAACATATTAAATCTGCTTTTAAAAGAAGGAACCAAAGTAGTTCTGATACAGAATTCTATAAATCCAAACTCTTCACTTCTGTCCCAGTGGCTTTGAACACTTCAAATCTCTGGGCTTTTCAATATTTCCCTGGGCTATGACCTTGCTTTTTAGTGTGTGTTTTTGGTTTTTTTTTTGTTTTTTTTTTTTTTTTCCAGAAATCCCCTAATTCTCCCTTGAGGAGCTGTGATTGGTCACTATCACCACGTTGCTTTTTTCCATAGTAAATTGGTGAAGAGCATGGCAGAATATTGGCCTTCACATGCTAATTTAACGTTCTCTGAATTAAAGATCCTTAAAACTTTGTTTAACAGAGGAAGAATAAAATAAGCTGCCCCTCCACATTGATATTTCTCAGTAGCCCAGCCGAAACTCAGCTTTCTGATAAGGATACAGCTGGGCCAGCCCTAGTTTGGGGTTTAAAACGAGCTGGGCTAATTCCCTTAATCTCGTTGTAGCTCTTATGAACTTCTTCACAAAGAAACACCCAATCAAACATACTGGACCTGTATCAGAGAACACAGTGTTTTCTGTCCTTTCACAGGACAGATTTATTTTGTCTTGGTCAATATTTGTCTCTGGAGTCAGTGACCCTTCCTTTTCACCCCAGTCGAAGTGAGTCGCCCGCTGTGACTTCAGGGCAGAGCACCCAACCTTCCCGAGGCTTTAACCTGGGCATTGGCCACCACCTCCCTGATCCCAGGAGGGAGCATTTTTGAAACAGTGACCAAATGTGCTCCTGGGGCAGGAGTGGAGTCATCCCACCTCTCAGCAAGCCCGTGGCTCAGGCAGTGCTTTACACAGCACTGCAGCCTTCATTAAAAAGCAGCTTCCTTTGCTCCTCCAGCCACCTCATCCTCCCATTTCCCAATTCTGAACACATACTTTGGCACTGGGAATCCTCTTACTTGTTCCTTAAAGAAACCACTTGGTCCTAATAAAGCAAGCAGCCTTTTGCACTGTTTTATGATGATTGCAGAAGCACTGCAGCTGAACAGGGCAAGGGTCACATTCTCTTCCACTGCACTGATGTGCTGTGAGGGTCACAGACACTTTTCAACAAGCTTTCATTAGTATTTCTTTTGGTATAAAATGCTTTCAAAGCTGGAATTCCCTCCCTGAGGGCATCATCCTAAAGATCCTGGGTTTTACTTTTCCCCCTAAAATCAGGATTTGGCAGTATCAGGATTTGGCAGTAGCAGCTCAGGCTTGAGCCCCACACTGCATCCTGCACTGTGACTATGTAAAAGGAACCATATCCAAATATCTGCACAGCTGTAGCCACCAGCATACTCACTGGATGTTTTTTCCCAAGCCATCTCTCAGCCCTGTTACAACGAACTGTTAGGAGGCTCTCAAGACCTTTAACAAATTGACACTCAGGTGCCTCGCCCTGAAAGGAGAAATTGAATCAGTCAGCCTTCATTAGAGACCATCAGTTATATTGCTGTTTTATATTTGCTGTGGTACTGCTGACAGGATGATTGTGTTGTGTCCACAGACTCCATTGTCATCGCCTTTTGGGTCGGACTCGCTGCCTTCGTGACGTTGCTTTTCCTTATTTTACTGTGCATGTCCCGCTCTGGATCGACTCCAGCAAAGTAAGTACAACCAGACATAAAGTAAGTGCAGACCAGTGGGATAAAATAACCTGGGTGAGACATTCACTCCTTTGAGTGATCCAGCAATTCCATACAACATTTGTAACTGCACAGAGATGACACTCTTTATGTAGTTATTTGGTTGGGGTGTCTTTCGACCCAGAGCCATTCACTGTTTGCATAAATCACCTGGATAAAAAGAACTAATGAGGTTCGCAGGTGACATAACACAGCTCAAATCCGTCGGTTTCTCGAGGAGCACCACCAATAACAAAGGCAACTTACCCAACTAAACCACAAAGCAGGAAGCAGGCTAACAACACAAGAAACATGGAAATGGACATAAAATTGCAGGACAGTGGAGGTATGTTCCCAATAATTTACTATTCCCAAAAAAATGTCAGGAGAATTCTGTACACATGAAAATCTCAGAGTGTTTGGAAGACTTAAAATATTGCTTTTTAAATTTTTTCACTTTTTCTTCATGTTACTGAGTGAAATACTTGGCTTAAAAATATCCATATTTATCCTTGGTATGTTCAGTTTTGGCCTTCAAAAGAGCTATTGTGAACAAGGCAGGTCTAGGAATGTTCTGTGGAGTGCCCAGGAATTATTAATAAAAAGCACTATTAGATGAGATTTACTTAGACTTTTAATTTTTCTAAGCTTGAAACATACTGTAAGAAAACAATTTTAGGACTGAAGGAAGTATTCAACACCACCCCACACACGCACAAAACTTGCCCCTTGTGACTGAGTTTCATTTGATTTTTAAGCCCCACTTTAATTACCCTTTTCCCAATTCCAGCAACGAAACCAAACAGAGTGTCTGGAAGAAATCATTCCTGTAAACTTCCACCAGCCTCCCCTGTCATCCTCTTTGTTATGTCATCCACCCCTTACCCTTGGCATGACAATCATTCAGTATCTGTATGGAAACCTCCTGTCTCTTTTCCTGTGATAATTCCGATACATTCCCCCAACAAACACACACACACACACGTCACAGGTCGAGGCTGGAGAACTTTTACCTTCACCATTTCTGCTCTCATCCATCTCTCTGTCACTCCCAGGGACGTGCAGGGTACTCTGTGCTCTCCCAGCTTGCTCAGGGCCAGGTTAGAGGCTTTCAAGGCAGGTGGGTCCTACGAGTGCACCTTGTGCTTGAGGGGAATGTTGAGCAAACCCCCACCACAGGTCAGCTGGATCCCTGGGGTGTCCATGAAAGTTACGTTTCCGTAGGATCACAGAAACACAGCATGGGTTTGGTGGGAAGGGACCTTCAAGATTATCTAGTCCCACCCCCTTGCCATGGGCAGGGACACCTCCCACTAGCCCAGGTTGCTCCAATTCCCATGCAACCTGGCCTTGAACGTCCAGGGATGAGGCAGCCACAGCTCCTCTGGGCAGCCTGTGCCTCCCCAGTCTCACACAGAGGAATTTCTTCCCAATATCCCATCTAACCCTGCCCTCTGGCAGTGGGAAGACATTACCCCTTGTCAAGTCCCTCCAGACTCTTGTCCAAAGTCCCTCTCCAGCTCTCTTGGAGCCCCTTTAGGCACTGGAAAGGGCTGTAAGGTCTCCCTGGAGCCTTCTCCAGGCTGAACACCCCCAGCTCTCACAGCCTGTCTCCTGAGCAGAGCTGCTCCAGTCTTTGGAACACCTCCATGGCCTCCTCTGGGCTGTCTCCAGCAGCTCCATGTCTTTTTTGTGTTATAGTCCCCACAGCTGGAGCTGGGGTCTCACCTGAGTGGAGTAGAAAGGGAGAATCCCCTCCCTCATCCTGCTGGTCTCACCTCTTGATGCAAATTTGGCATCTCTTCCACTGCTATGCAACACCAAGGTCTCCTCTTTTGGCAAGGGCATACCACCCTCCACAGCAGAGTCTGCTGGTTTTAACCTGCATATCCACACAGAAAACAAGTCGAAGTGTCTTCCAAATGACCTGTATCTACTTATGCCACAGCTTAATCCTTGGTTAGAGACACTGAGAGGTCCTGGATCTGACTCCATGATCTGATTGCACCACACATTGCTCTGCAATACCAAAGAATTTGGTGCTGAGTCTGATGGCTGAGTCTGAGATGCAAGAGGGGAGGAGGTTGTGCAATCCATGTCCCAGTCCCCTCTGTCACCATTACATTATCTCACAGAAGTAAGACAAAAGGTCTGGGGCATGGGACCAGAGATTTCAATAAGAAACTGCATTTGGTGTTTAGATGTGGTGCCTCATCACCCTCACAGGGATCATGGATATGAAGCCGCCTTTATCTTTCGAAGCATGTTTCCCTCAAAAAATGACATCAGACATTTTTCACTGCACTTGGCTTTCTCTAGACCTGCACTGCCTGGAATTAGCTTTTCTGCCCTTTGAATCACTATTTCAGTTTTATCTTACCTCTTTGTCTTGGCTGAAGTCAGTCACAGCACTGCCTTAGACTGACCTGGCTTGACCAGCTCACTCTGAGTACTGGGACTCTGGAATTCTTCCAGCCTCCTCCAACCTCCCTGCTGTTCCAGGGATGGCTAACAATTAACAGAGCCTGCCAGAGTTCTCCTCAGATAGTCTCTGGGTCTCTGAGATGCAAGTTTTCCTGCGGGTTTTAAAGCATGGATAGCTAGATGGTGGTATTTAGCTACTTAATGGACTGGAAATGAAATGTCCTCTTTTGGTAAGAGTTTTTTTCATCTTGCTTCTGTCAAAGAGAGAGAAGAGAAATGAATAGAATACACTGGCAGCAGCAAAGAAACCCCCAAACCTGTGCTGGGCCTGTTGCTGAGACTTTGGGGTTTTGTTTCTGCTTTATGAATGACCATTAAGCAAAATCTCTGTTGGGTTAGTCTTGTCAGGCACAGATATTTTAAGCTTTCATTTGCAAGTAATATAAATTTGAGGTTATAAAGTTTATATTTCACTTTCTCCAAAGTGTTAATTATTTTCCTTTTCATACCATTTGCTTTATCTTGCTTTTTAGATTTTGGTTCTTAGGTTTGTGTAGCCAGTGAAACACTGGCTTTTAGTTCAAGATGTCTTCTTTTTTCCTTCTGCAGCCAGGATGGCTCCAGGACATTAATAAGGCTTTTCAAAAATTTTCCATTGTCACTTTTGGGTTACATTTTTCTTCCCAGTGCAGTTTTCATCCCAACCTTTGAAGCCCTAAGGATACAGTAGTAGTTGAGATCTTGTCTTCAGCCCTATTAACTAGAACTTACTGCTTCTAGGCCAGGACTCACCTGCTATTTACCTTTTAAGGGTGAAGTCTGGGAAACTGATGGGAAGAGGGCTCAGGGAGGAGGAGGCAGGTGCATTCTGCTGTTCTCATATCACCCGTTCTGTCCCATCACTAATTTCTTTTTCTGGCAGAATCACACATCTTTGAGTTGTTACTGTTTACAAATTTCCTGCTACTTGAGTCCTATTTCCTTGATGAGTTCCTCACCAGCCCTTAGAGCTGTGTCTTCTTTTTTCCCAACCCCAGTATCAGGCAATCCTTCCCAAATCTCTCACATCCCTCTTGTTCTTGCCCACAGTGACACCCATTCACAGTCTCAGGAATCTCTTATCCCTCTTCTCTTTCCCAGAAGCAGCCCTGACAGTTCCCTTCACCCTTGGTACAGAGCAAGTCATAGCAAAGTTCCTACTTTCCTCTTTAAAAATACCACTAAAGGACCAAGATTAAGGGCTGGACCGAAGGTCCCATCTTGAGGGAGAGAGGGGAGTCACCTCAGATCACCCTCAGCTCACACCTTTCCTGTTGGTCATCCTCCATTTCCAGGCAAGGACATGATTCTCATGGTGGATGGAGAGGGCTGAAGTCCAAGAGCTTCTCTCATGCTGGATTCAATGTCTTCTGTGTTAGAAGCAGCATCTTCTTTATTTCTTAAAACTTTGATGTACTTCCTGTTGAAACTGAGACTGTGTCTCTTCCAAACACATCCCTGATGGCTGTATGTTTTTCTGTCCACACATTCCAGACAAGTGACTGTAGGGAGCCAGATGGAAGAAAGCAGTTCCAATGGGGAGCCTCACTGTGATGACCTCAGGAGCCCATAATCAGATGTGGTTGCTTCTTAAACACCTCTCTCTGTTTTGGATGAAATGGGCATTCCTGGAAGGATCTGAGCCTGAGGTAAAACTGGAAGAGGTTAAACCAACCCAGCAGTGCAATTCCCATGGCTGCAGAGATAAGGTCAGTGCTGTGACTGCCTGTTAACCACCTGGATTCAGGAGAAAAAAAAAATGCCTTTCAAAAAAGATCAAACCTGAAAAACCCTGGATTAGTAAGAGGAGGTCCTAATGGCCGTATTTGAATAAAATGGCTCAGCACTTCCCCCCCTTTATTTACTTTTGCAAAAAAAAAAATACTTTGGTTACTAAAAATTTATTAAAACACTGTTTATCTGGAAGAGCCTTTAAAAAGCAAATGGCAGCACTAATTATCTCAAGGGCATGTTTTCCTGAATAAAGCCATCAGCTTTACTTGCTACCCAGAAATACAGTTTTGCTACCAACAACCAATTGCTTTTTGCTTCCCTGTTGAAATGGTCAATGGTAAAGAAACCGTCAGTGTTGAACGGTCTTGAAATGCATCTGCCAGTTACCAAGGTGTTAGAAAAAGGGAATATGTCTCATATCAAGAGAATGTATTTTATATACAAGAATCTTCTCCCTTGCTGGCACCAGCTCTCCCTGCAAATTGGGAATTACTTGCAACAGTAACTCCACTGCAGTCACACAGCGTCACCAAAGACACTGTGGGAGCAAACCTGACCGTCCAGACCCATTTTCGTCCTCAAGGATGCAGCAGCTTCAACCATTCTTGCCCCACGTGTATGCCCTCAGCAGGAACCTCTCTCCTGACCAGTTCTGCAGGGCCTGCCTGCTCGAGCATCCTCCTCCCTGACTCAGGACAGACTTGTATCACCCTGTTTTTTAAGATCCTCCACTCCACAAGGAGATTTCAAGGGAATTTCTGGAAGACGTGAATACTCCCATTCATGACAACAGGTGTTCTTCCATGGGTTACACACTGGAACATGGTTCAGAGAACATAACCACTAAAAAGACCTTTTTAACTTTCAAATCACCTGGAAATACAGTATGAAGTATAAAAGCAATAATAAATAATATGCAAAACACAACCCTGGCTTATAGCACCCAACCTGGGGGCAGGGGAGTGGGGGGAGCAAAGCATTTCCTCCCATGACATTTAATATGTACCCATTTCAAAGCTTCCCAGTGCTTTGCTTTCCACAGAGAGCACTTTATTTCCCCTTCCCCCTGAGTCCTCCATTGGAATCAGAGAATCATGGAATTGTTTAGGCTGGAAAAGCCCTCGAAGATCAAATCCAACTGTTCCCCAGCACTGCCAAGGCCACCACTAACCCACATCCCCAGGTGCCACATTCACACTGTGTGATCCCTCCTATCCTTGGGCTGGTGGAATGCTCTTATTTCTTTAATTCTCTCAACAGATCATACTATAAACCACTGGGGGGGTGTGCTCAGGACCTCGAGGCAACTGAGAAATCCCTTCCCTTTGTGTCATGGGTATTTTCTTTAACAGTTAGGTGAGATGGAAAGATATCTTTAGTTTTGGAACTCCTTTCATGCCTGTTTGGTTTTTGTAATCAAGAAAAATAAGGGGTTTTTTGCTTCACACAGATTTCCCGATGTCAGCCCCCTGCAACAAAATGTAGCCTCTAAGGGGCTTTCAGCATTTTTAAGAAATATCATTTTTAACTGAAGTCGTGATACAGAGCTGACAGCTTCTTTAGGACAAGAATATTCAAATGTAAAAGCGATCTCATTACTTGTGTCTCATGCTTTTTATTTAAAAACCACAACGAATTCAATACACATCACAAGGAATGCGCAGTTCTGAGTTTTTTCCCCTCTACAGAATTTGTACAAAGGACTTGGGCACAGCATGTAGCTGTGAGACAATTTAATAAATCCTGGTTTACATTTCAAAGCTTCAGGTCCTGAGTGTTTGCAGATCTGGACTGCCGTGTTCACCTGCCCTCCAGGCCACATTCCAGAACTATCATTCAGATTTCACAAAGAATTCCCAATAAAACTCACAGATGATCAATTAGTATTAAGTCCCTTGGGGTTTAGTTCCATCTCTCACCTGTTCCAAGTGGAGAGATGGGCCTTTGCTGCAAGTTCCAGCAGCATTGATGGGCTTTTTCTAATTAAAAAAACAAAAAAAAAAGGATAATAAAAATAGACCGGCTCTAATATAAATGCTTTCAAAGCCATATAATTTAAAAGAAGAATCATAGACCACTATGATTCCAGTGTTCAGTCTTTTATTCACACTGGTTTTGGTATCATGAAATAAACTGGGTTCTTCTAGAAACAGTAAATCATCATGGCTAAACCTCCAGCTCCTCGTTCTTTGCACTTACACCACATCGTGGGAAGTTCTGCAGCCTTTTTTCCCCATTTTATAATGGAGAAAGGATGGATTTTAATGACACAGGGACTGGAACTGTGTCTGGACACAGATCCAGAGTCCAGGAGACAGTCTTTTTGGTTCTTCATAAAGTAAAAAATGCCTTAATAAAAATTATATAAATGTCATGTTCCCATACTGTTCAAGAAAAGGGAAATTGGAAATTTAATGTCCCACTGAGAGACAATGAATACAATTCTCCCCCTCTGAGTCTGCTCAGTAAACAGTAATAAAATACTGATTTTTATGACCAAACCAGTTAGGTCTGTTATGGGGACAGCTCAGGAGGGTTTCAAGGCTCACAGCGACAATGGCAGAGCACAAACGTTAAAGATTAAGAGTCACTTCCCTGAATCAATGCCCTGATGTTGCCAGGTGAAGGGTTTTGCAAAGAGACACAATAGTTTCTTCTCCTTGCTCCTGAGTTTCCAAGTCATCACCGTTCAGTTCACCATCTGCACCAGTGCAGATCAGTCTGACATGAGTTATTAACATATCTGGCTCCTGTGCTCCGAGCCACATGTCCTTGATGTAAAGGGAGGTCAGGAATACACAAACAGCTGTGGAAGACAAATTAAGAGAAATCAGAACAGATACTCTTCTACTTCCCCATAGTAATACCAAACCATTTACCTCCAGACTTATGTTTTAAAATAGTTTTCTCTTTTCCTAGATGGAAAATCTAGGGTGGGGGAGTGCCCATGCAAAGTCAATGACTCCCCTCACACAAAGGAGACAAACCAGTATCCTGTCAGCTTCCTTAAATAAAACAGCTTGAAATCTGGCCATCACTGACCAGCACATGGATCAGCACCCAAAATGGTTTTCTGAATTAAAAAAAACCATGGAACTCCCTACTTCCTCCCATTACTGCCCTGTAACAAGAAAGACAAGGAAGAGACAAGTTACCTTTCCTGTTCTCATCCTCTTCTGTCGTGGCTGAGAGGCACAAGGATTTCACAAGCTCATGGAAGCTGTTGGCCAGGCCCTGAGCATCCAAGAGCCGAAGCATGATGGAGCTGAGCACAGGGAGCTCCTTGGAGAGCTGAGCCTCACACACCCGAGTGTAGAACTTGAAGAGGTTCTTCCTCAGTGTCCCATCCCTGAGCATCTCCCGTGTGGCCGCCGGCTGTGGCACCACACACCCCTGGAGCCAGCGCAGCATCAGTGCCACGTTCTGCTCACTGAGGCTGTGCTCCACCATGGACTTCACCAGCCATTGTGTGACCAGGACAGTGCATGCACAGGTGAGACTGACGGAGTCGTCCCCGAGGTCATTGGGCTCGAGGGGCTCCCCTCCCTGTTTGGGAGGTGGCCCTGGGAAAACAGGCTCCCAGTGGGCAAATATGGAATTCAGATGGTCTCTGCATTTCTCGAGCTCAGACACTTCCAGGTCTCCAGAAGCATCATCTTCTTCTACCCCGTCCTTTTTCCGAATGTGACGATATGCACGAGATGAGGCTTGGGGCTTGTTCTTGTCTTTAATATTTTCTGTAAGAAGAAAACCACCACCAAAACAAACATCAGATGCTCCACAGGTATCTATGTACTTTCCTGGTACAAAATTATGCATGGCAAGTAGTCTCCCGTGTTGATTCAGTTGCTAAAAGGGTAAGTGCCACCCTTGTTTTGCTGCCTCATGGAGCCTGTGCCATTCAAATGGGCTCTGGGCAGCTCCCAGGGACTCCAGGCTGGAACACTGCTCTGAACAGGATCACCCAGCCTGGAGGTGAGAGAAGCTCTGGAGGCTTGGAGCAACACATTGTGTTTTAAACCCACACATAAAGTAGTTAGAGATGTCACTACAACAACTCTCTTTGTGTCTTTCTGAGGAGCTTTAAAGGGTGCGAAAAACTTCAGAAAAACTAAAGCTTTTACACTATCCCTTCAATATGTGATAGTTTCATAATTAAACTGATACAGAACATTTAAACAAACCTATAATGTGCACCAAGAGCAGTTGCAGCTGCAGGAAACCAGCGTTGTTTTAACACCTCTTGCTACCAAGTCCTTGGACATTTTATTCACAGAGATCACAAGAGAAGTCACACGAGTCCAGACATACTTTCCCTTTCTTCAAACACTGAAAAATTAACTGCTTAATTTTCCCTTGCTTTATTGTTTTTACTCGTGTATCACTTCCAGATGCCCCATCCACACTCAGAACGATTCAAACCTTTGAGCACAAAGCCTTCAGGCACTGCTTTTTCTTTTAAGATTTAAGAATACAGTTTCTCAAAGCCTGATACCAGATTTGCAATTGAGTTTCATTTTAAAGCTCTTTCCCTTTTTAAAACTATGTTTCTCCAAAGCTTCTAAATTGTGTTAAAATTAGAAACCACTGCAAGGAAGACCTGAAAAATGGTTTTCCATTTCCCTTCCTCCTTCTCCACCAAGTCTCCTTCCACACCAAGTCCTCCTTCCACACCAAGTCTCCTCCGACTTAAGTTATTAATACTATTTCCTGGGAAGTTTGCCTCACTCACATGGTTGGTTGGTGACAGCCTCAACCAAGTCTTCCTTCTCTGAAACATTTCAGTACTTACTGAGCAATTCTTTGATTTGGTATTTCTGAGCAAGGGCCTGCAGGTCCTCCTGCAGCTGCAAGTCTCTGTCGATGAGGCTCCACTTGTGCAGCAGCAGCAGCACCTCCCTGTTGGACAGGACTCCATCATTCACCGTGAAACGCCTCATCTCCCGGAAGGCCTCAACAACCACAGCACGATATTCCAGCACAGAACTGAGGGTGCTGAAGTACTGAGTCAGCTT